AAAAAAAAAATGAAGCCTAAATTTACCTTTTTGTGTCCACAGATATTTCACAAATCCCTCTCACATACTTCCTACTTATGCAAGTTGTGGAGATTTCTCTACTGTTTCTCCCTACGCACAATATTATTTACTCTTTTTTTTTTTTTTTTAACCTTAGCCTGTAGTGATAATATCACTGTGTTTGTTGCTTTATTTAAGGTGATTTACAGATTTGTTCCACTCTATATATTTCTCTGAATCTATTTAAATCCTTTTCTCTGTACTGAGACTAAAGAATCATATTAGTTTGTCATGCTGCTTTGTTCATTTGGAGAAATGTTTTTCTCTTTTTTCTTGAAGCTCTTTGAACAACTGGAAACTCAATTTTTCTTTTTTTTATGCTCAAAGAATGCTACGCTGCAGGCAGAGAAACAAGCGTTGAAAACGCAATTAAAGCAACTTGAGACGCAGAATAGTAATCTGCAGGCTCAGATTCTTGCGCTTCAGAGACAGACTATTTCTCTACAAGAACAAAATACAACTCTACAAACTCAAAATGCCAAGCTTCAGGTAATGTTTTTTTTTTTTTTCTTTTTAAAATAATATTAATTCAACGTTTTTTTTTTTTTTTTTTTCAAGTGAAAGGTTTAAAGCTAATGGTAATACTGTATCATGAATCAAATTTCAGTTGTGGTACAGACATGGAAATCAAAGAAACTTGCGATAGTCTGTACTAAGAGCAGTCAAATAATATTTTATGATTATTGATCAATAATAGCATTTCCAGAAGTTGGTTTTAACCTTTCATATTTGTCCTATTTAAACCCTTGAATTTATACTCAGGAACAGAGTAGATTCTCTTATCCAGTCTCCTGCAAGATCAAAAAATTTTTTTAGTTTCTTTTTTACTTCTAAATTAAGATCAGGGAAGAAGTGAGTGTGTTCAAAGAAACTATAATGTATTTCGTATTTTTTCTTTTTTTATAGTTAAGATGAAACCCAGCTAAAAACATATCTAAGAGGAAAATTAAGGTATTAATAAGTACAGAAAACTTTCAAAAAAAAAAAAAAACCTTGGGAAACTACAAAGAAACGATTATGGGAAGATTTAATTCAGATAATTCAGAGGCAAAAAAGGTGGTGTGTGAGCATGGAAGTTATAAAAATAGTTATTCACACAGAGTGTCATAGCTGTTACGGCCAAAATGCAGATACCATCCTCCTTTCTTTAACTGTGTTGCCAAGTACATGGGTTTTTCTCTGATAAAGGCCATATTCTTGCTAATGAATCTAATGCTTTTTGGAGTTCTGAGAATCATAACAGCTTAACGAGAGAATGCAAAGTTCCCAATACACCCGAAATTGTAAACAAAATATTAGAAATGATGGAGAGTCGTTAGAACTCAGACTGAAGGAGTCTTTGACTGAGTGAACAAATAATGAATTTCCTGAATGCCTGAAGTTGTCATTCTGTCTCTTGCTGGAAAGCAGAACAGAGTAATACCACGAATGCACTTTATATCTGCCCCACTGAAATCTAATTAGCGTACAGTAGTCTCCTTTGTGGCTGGCATGTCTGTGAGCAAAACAGAACATTTGTGAACGTAACCATGTCTCGTCTTGTCCAGTAGTTAAAAGTCATTGGACATAGGCATGGAAATATACTTGATGGTTTGAAACAGATGAGGATGTATTTCTGGTATTTGGAACTCTGAGAATTTTGTAATCCTGTTTGTCAAAAAAACAGGAAATCTGTGCAGTTCCTTTTGCCTCATGAATTGTACAACAGCCCAGGACTCTTCTACCCAATATTCCTGGAGAATAAATTAACTGTAGAGATTTGAAATTACTGAGGCAGAGAGTTGGGATCAATTTGAGGAGAAAGAATTCCCTGTTCATTTATTTAGTTACTTATTTGTGCTGAACCTCATCAAGCAATATGATTTTAGTAGCTGGGGGGTGACAGGATGTTGTTTTACCCAGCAGCCTTGGAAAGGGAATGCTTCCCCCAACTTACGAATTCAGTGTTCTGCTCATAACGTCAAGCAAGTTGCGAGACAACTCTATAGCAAAACAGAAACAATTCTACATTATTTATTGGGCTTTTAAGTGTCGTTCCCATACAGCATTATGCTGTAGGACTTCGGAGAATAGCAAAATGATTCTTTCATCTTTGTAATGATGTCTTTTGCTAAATAGCTGCAGAGCTTGAAGGCTAAATGAGATAAAACCAAGAAATATAGTCTCATTTTCCTCAGAGGAGTCTGTTTAAATAAGCCAGAAAGTAGAAAAGTATTTTGGACTTGCGATATAAAGAGTAAACCAAGTGTTAGCTGGTGCTACAATGGAAGTTGCAAGCTGATGCCTCTATTTAGCAACTCCATCTTTGAAAGGAAACATGCTGAGATAAGAAATACAGTCCCATTGCTAAAATACGCTTAAAGTCCCTGCTAACTGCAGAGCTTTGTCGTTGGTTTGCATGTTCCATTTTATTTCGGAAAGAGTTCAGTAGCAGACTGTTGGATGCTTACTCTGTTACTAATTACCATCTCAATGGAATTACGCTGTTCTTTACATAGGGTTTTCTCAAATCAGTTATCATGCTACCATGGGTCCCAGGTATTGTTGATTGACATGCGTAGCTGGGGACTTGTGCTCAGTAAGGCTTTTGGCCAACAGCAGGCCCAAAGCGATTTGGAGCATTAGAGCTCCATTGGTTCAGTGACTGCAATAGTTACAGAACTGTTCTCCTTTGTGAAGAAAATACATCACTAACAGGGGTAGAGGTGGGAACCTGAACGGGAGTGCAAGGACAGGATATTATTGCTCAGTTTCCGTGGGATTTGGGGGAGAAATGAGATGCAAACACAGACGCAGGGTCTCTTCAGTCACCACTTCTTCTGTGATACTTGCACACAGCCCTTGTGAATTCAGCAAACGAAAGAGAAAAGAAATCAAAATTTGAAGGTGAAAAGTGTTCATGAAAATTAAGAGCG